GTGGGAGGAAATAGGAGGACCCGGAGAAAACCCACGAGGATGGACAGGCGATCTTACTCCTTGTCACGTACAACCGGGGAATCAAAACCACGCTAGTTGACTCAATTTTGGGACTGGTTCAATTTTATTTCAATAATTCGTTTGCGCGTAGGAGTCTTTAGCAGTGGGAGGAAATAAGAGGACCCGGAGAAAACCCACGAGGATGGACAGGCGATCTTACTCCTTGTCACGTACAACCGGGGAATCAAAACCACGCTAGTTGACTCAATTTTGGGACTGGTTCAATTTTATTTCAATAATTCGTTTGCGCGTAGGAGTCTTTAGCAGTGGGAGGAAATAAGAGGACCCGGAGAAAACCCACGAGGATGGACAGGCGATCTTACTCCTTGTCACGTACAACCGGGAAATAAAACCACGCTAGTTGACTCAATGGCAGACCTTATGATACAAAGCGCACGCGCTAACCATTCGGCCATCCAACCCCGCCACTGATAATAAAGTAGCCCCCTTATAAAGAGGAATTATGTCCGTTCTTGCTATAATATAATAGTTTAAAATTAGACTGCGAATATATTGAAAATTTCAGTCACATCACTTTATTCTGAGCGATGTTATGAATGTTTGAAGTTTTGACAACATATGTCGTAAATAGTCTCGATTGTCAAAAAAGCATTGCTACTCCAACAACAAGTATCTATTTTCTATGTTAACGTTTAACAAAGATATAACAGACATTGTCTAGTTGAATATGAGCTTGTCTTGTTGTTCTTAGTGTTTAATGTCCGCTTTCACCGAGGATGATATTGCAGACAAGTTGCCTTATTTTCATTTGTATTATCTAAGCGCAAGCGTAGGGGTCTTTCCTGTGTGAGGAAACCGGAGTAAAACCCACGAGGTTGAGAAGGCGCCCCAACCGCAAGCCAGAGGTGACCAGCCAGCTACAACTCGAAGCGCGACACTCTATACCACTAGGCCATTCACAACCCCCTTATGGGCTTGTCATACGAATAACAGTTTAAACAATAATTTATATAACATTTGGAGCCACCCCCCCCCCCCAAACAGTTCTATACGGTGGCTGATTTAGGACACGCAAAAAATTAATATCTCGAGCGCTCGAGATACTATGTCGAGCGCTCGAGATAATTAAGTCTTGCGCTCGAGATAATTAAGTCATGTCGAGCGCTCGAGTTTATTAAGTCCAACACTCGAGATAATACAATCGAACACGTTTCAACCGATGTTTCAAGCTTTATAATTGTGTGCATTATTTAATGATAAACTTGCAGAATAAAGATATTCATTTTGTCCTTTTTACAGCCCATCCAAAGCTGCAGTGACGGAGCGGATACCCCCCTCCGGAGTCCCCCCCCCCCCCACACTCCATCCCATGGTCAAAGCCACCACTAAATATTTCCCATTGTATCTACCTCCTTCCAAGTTAAAGAGTGAGTAATCTGGGATGTGGGAGAGGTTGTCGCCCTCGTTTACGAAAATTTACACCCTGTTGAACCAGTATGCTTCATATTATTTTGATATCATATTTGCTATTGGGAAATCTAGCCAAAATTTTAATTTTAAAAGAAGTTGCGGATATAGGCATTTCTGACAGACAATTGCGACGCAATAAATATCCTGCTGATGTAATAGACGTCGCTGACTTTATAAATAGCAACTTGGGTAGCTCTTGTAACCAACTTGGTTATCGAATGATGAACCTTAAAAATGTATTTTAATTGGATTTTCCATTAGCAGAGAGGATGTCAGAATACTATTAAGCATTTTGGTCAACAGCAGGCCTAGAAATAACGGTTTTAGATGTACCCGACAAAATGTCAGTCACTAATGAAATAGTACCTGACATTTTCAATTGGTGTCGGACATGTATAAATAATATCAATAAAAATACAAATAAGTGCCGGACAAAGCCTGAATCTGTGACTGACATTGTCTGTGACATGTACCTTATTTCCAGGCTTGCAACAGGGTGTAAATTTTCGTAGACGAGGGCGACTAATCCGCCAAAGATATTTTGCTCGGGGTTCTAATTTTATCTTGCATTTTGATTCCTACGACAAGTCACATACGCTCACACCGAACCCAGAACTACAATCCCGAGGCAGCTGGCCAGCTATAGCATGAAGCGCTACAACTCCTCCCACATCCCAGATTACTCCCACCTTAACTTGGAAGGGGATAATGGGAAATATTTAGTGGTGGCGTTGAGCATGGGATGAAGTGTGTGTTCGGGGGGTATCGGCTCCGTTAATGCAGTTATGGATGGGCTGTAAAAACGAACAAATGAATATCTTTATTTTGCAAGTTCATCACTAAATTATACACACAATTATACAGCTTAAAGCAACAGTTAAGACGTGTTCGACTTAGTATCTCGGGCGCTTGCGATACTAAGTCGAGCGCTCGCGATAATTGGGATGAAGTGGGGGGGGGGGGGGTCTTATCCGCTCCATCACTGCAGCTTTGGGGGGGTTGTAAAAACGAACAAATGAATATCTTTTTCTGCAAGTTTATCATTAAATAATGCACAAAATTATACAGCTTAAAACATCGGTTGTATCATCTCGAGCGCTCGACTAAATTATCTCGAGCGCTTGACTTAATTATCTTGAGCGCTCGACTTAGTATCTCAAGCGCTCACTTAGTATTTCGAGCGCTCGAGATATTATTATTTTTTTTGGCGTGTTCTAAATCAGCTACCGTAGATAAATGTGGAATCCATTTTGTAATGTTAAATATTCATCTAAAAAAATTAAAAAAGTTAACGAGCTGTTGTTTTGTTTTAAAAATTAATAACTGCGAAAGTTTAGTGAAACCGGGTACAAGATATACATTATACACAGCTCGTGACTTACCGCCCACACATTACACGATCTATGGTTCAATACGGTCAAAATGGTGGGTCTATTGGGTTTTATCAGCTGTTCGAGTTCTAATTCTAAAACAAAAACGCTGCGTCAATAATGCTGCCACAGATAGCATAGAAGCCACATTTATAAATATGCAATGTTTCAGGCGAACTGGAATATTTTAATTCAGTGTTTTATTAATTATAGCCAAATTCTGTAAATGTCATAGATTTACAATTGAACAGAACGGTCGCGAAGAGGAATCGTATTACGTGGGAATGAATGAAATGAGGTTTAACGACCGACTTTTCAGCTCCATCCAGGCTAATGAAGATGGGTATTATACACCCCTTTCATCATCCCCTCTCCCTCTCCCATGCGTTAAATTGTCAATCTTAAAATCTCGATTAAAAGCTCATCTTTTCAAAAATTGACAAAAACAATTAGAGCCAGAGCTCAGCCAATGAATTTTTGTATCATTATTTACAAATTTTTAATTTTTTATTACAACTAATCGTACATCCCCGTCCCAACTATGCCACCGTCTGTATGTTAACTGTCTTTTTCATAGAAAAGTCATTGAAAACCCGATAATGGCGGTCTACCCATTCCGCAAAAATCCGTACATAAACGATAGTAGATTTACCCAAAAAAAAAAAAAAATCATATTCTTTTCGGTAACCGAGGAATGCGTTTCTAAGCGGGTATTACTTTGTGTAAATCTCCCACGAGTAATTTTTACGTATTCTCACCGCGTTCCCTGTTATTTCGTTTCGTTTTTTTTATAGTTCAAAATTTCTTTTTACTTGTCTTTACTACACTAGGATCCGGAAAAGTTGTTATATTATAGGCGTTCTAGTTAAAGTAAGGGATTAGCCAGAGAAACGGTCTTTTACGGCGACTTCTTAGCGTGCCATGTACGGAACTGTGGGTAAAGCTAGAAAAGTCAACGCTGATTGATTAATCAATCTGATGTCATAGGGTCAAAAGCCGCTCGTACAACCCTGACACGACCTCCCAGTACAACTTGCCAGATCTTTATGTAGTGTAGGCCATCGAAAATATAAAAAACAAAACGAATTATAGATCTGTATTTTAATCAGATTGGTAAATTACCGACGGTAAATCCTTATTTCATTGACTTCAAAAACACTTAATAAAAACAGCTGTAACTGATAATTTTTATATCTAAAAATATAACCATAAACTTAAAATATCGTTTGAGAAATCTGTCAAATAAGATATCACTTTAAATTTCCAGAAACTACATTAGGTGGAATAATTAATAAATCGCTTATCCCAGAAATCAGGGGAATAAAAGAAACCAGTGAGTTCGAGTCTAATCAGAGACCAAGAGACCATTCGGCGCTCCTAGAGGGACAGTATTTAGCGTTTTCAGAGATTAGCCGCCATTGAAGCAGGTTTGAAGGAAACCGAAAGATGTTTTATTTTTGATGTATACTTGTTAGCTTATATTTGTAATATCATGGCTGTTGTAAACTTTGTATCCTGCTTAATATAAAAACATATTTTAGAAGAACGGTGTATTCCTGAGTTTTGTATATAAAGTCATAGTGAGTTATATGAGTTATATTGAAGTCACAGTGGGTTATATTGAAGTCATAGTAAGTCCTTGGAGAAGTCTATTATACATGTACTTTGAAGTCCAATTCGAAACACAACGAGCATTGTTTCTTGTTCTTTTGTGTGCCGTTTTGCGAACAGTGTAAGTTTTGGTTTGTCGTGACTAGGATAATAGTGATATACATATTCGCCCTGTTCTTATCTCCGCTCGCGTTCTCGTCTCTTGCGAACAGTTCGTTTGTCATCGAATTCAACCGTTCATGACTTGACTTGTCACTGGAATCAACCGTTCATGACCGCAACTTGAATTGTCACTGGAATTAGCCGTCCATAACCACAACTGGACTTTTCACTGGAATTAACCGTCCATGACCACAACTGGACTTGTCACTGGAATCAACCGTTCATGACCACAACTTGACAAAACTCTCTGTAAACCACGTGTCTGTTCCAGACGTAGTCGAATCTGTTTTGCTTAGATCCACCCGCGATGTCTTTTTTGATATTGAATGATTAGACAAGTAGTTTAAAATATGAAGTAATAATTACCTGCTGAAAAGATCGATGTTAAAGAAGACATATTCTCCGTTGTCAAAGTCTAGTTCATGAGCCTTGATCATTATCTCTCTCACAGAATCTGGCGAGGCACACAATACAACCACTGAAAATATAAAATAACGACAATATTAATATGTTTCGGTTAGGTTCCCGTGGATAGATACTAATAAGCTTTATCTAAAAAGATTTATGCGAAAATAAAACATTTATATTTTTTATTTAGATATTTATGGAAGGTCTTTCCAGACAATTTGTCGTCAGATTCTCGTCATTGAAGGTCTAGTGACGATAACATGAGAACCTATAGACAAACACAGCTGGGATTAGTTTTTTTAGATTCTTGGTGCCGATAGTTTATCTACATAATACATACAATCAGAAATAGAGGAATATTCTCCTTTAATAGATTTTATGAATCTGAGTATGGCACCGAAACAACATTATTTTTAGCGAGGCAAGAGGTATTCGACGGTTGTTAAGGTTTCAAGGAGTCTTAAGTAAATACTATGTGGGGGATTTCTATTTGACAACAGCAAGCGGAAGCGTAACATATCTGACAGGAAAAATTGATATCATCGACAAGTTGCTTTTTTTTTATTAGTGGCGATACATATCACGATGTTGTGCACTTTGTGCTAACACGCTAATCTATACATATAATCCTAATGTTCCTTTTCTTTCATCTAGCATTTCGTTTAATCATTTGAAACAAATCTGATGAATTTTATGATAGGGAAATTACAGAACTTCCAAAGGGTTTTATTAATATTTGAATTAAAAACAAATTACATAAAGCAACAGGATTCGACACTTGCTAAGCTTAAGATATGGACGGTTAGATGACTTGGGAACTGAACTGTCAAGAGCGTGACTTTGTTTGAGTAGAATAACATTGTTATCGTTTCATAAAAGCGTTACAATCGATCTTTTTTCAAAATTTCAGAGCTCACAGCTTTTGACTTTAAAACAAATGTATATAAAGCAATAAAATTGATTAAATTTTGTGAAGTAAGCATGAAACGATTGCATAAAAGTTGAAATCCAGATTGTGAAAAGCTTAGGCTTACGTCCTCTTAAACATCAAACGTTTCCCTCCTCTCATCTCTGCATTTGGTAATCTACAATGGGATGGGGTAGAGAGTTCAGGTCCGATATTAAATACGCGAGCTTATATAATTTACTCGGAAGGATTTGGAAGAAATACTTCGTAATTAACAGGATGTAACATTTATTGGTAAGATTCGGTCGGTGGTAATCCGAGGCTCCGCATTTACATGGTAATATCAATAACGATCTAATCTATTTTACATCCTTATTTGATTTCTTGTAGAACTACGAAAAAAAGGCGATCTTCCTGAGGAATTAAAAAGGTTCTGTTCTTGTTTGAACATGAACTATTTTTCGTTCCAGTGTGTACCGTAAGTAAGACTCAATGCAACTTAACATGTTTGATTTTGAAATCGATGCAATTATAGAAAAGTAATTCAGAATATTTTCACCAAGCTTGCTTTTTAGAATCCAATTCCTTTATTTACTTTCAAATGGGACCACCGTTCAATACTCCCATTCTGCAGTCTTATTAACTTTCGAGTAATATGATGATCGCAATATTCTAATGAAATAATTAACAAATGGGTCTCTATCTTGACGGTTCATCGAGAATAATTAGCCCATATATTAATCGGGTCTATAAAAATGTTGAGAGCGCTATGTTGAACTAATTAACAAACACTCTTTATTCTGTTTGTTTAATCAAGACAAACCAGGCTAGTATAAGAAATAATTATCCAGTAACGTGAATTCAACCTCAGACGAGATGTTTGTCAATATGGATATCAAGGGAGGCATTTTAATTGTTTTTGTCTACGAAATTGCATTACAAACAAGCGTCAAAAGATCGTGTTAATTTCACAGCCCGCATGTACTTCGATTAAAACCATCAAAACTCGTAGACATACTGCGATCAGATCAAGTTCCCAATAGTCCTATAATCTTAATCTCTTTAGGCAAGTCACACAAAAGATGCTGCGAGTGAACTTGAGATTTCTGCTCAAGATGATTCTAACTATGTCTAAAGGCCAAGTAGTTATTGAATTTTGAAAATTCCGCATGATAATTCGAAAGTTACATTTTCCTTGCCGTTCGCATTCTTCTAAATAACCACTCCAACGCAAATTGTGTAATGATTTTTCTCGAAATACATGGAGCCGACGATCACCCAATTATCTTTGAAAAGCCGTTGGTAAAGAAACAAGCGAGTGTAGCTATCTCAGTTTGGAGAATTAAGAACGCAAAATATCAATTTTTAGACATTAAAAATCTTTAACAGAAAAAACAAATATTGGTTTCAAATATTTTATATATAAATTATTGTTCTCTCGCAATGATGACAAACAGATCAAGATAATAGGTAAGGTATTTTCTACAAAATTTGATTAAAACGCAACTGCTATTAGAAGTCAGTCATTACAAGATTTTCTGTCGAGCATTACGGAAATTTGAACAAAAGAAACGAGTAACAGCTTGCAATAGAATAAGAAGAATTCGGGAAAGATGTATATGGACACTATATGAATTCAAGTTCTGACCACCGGTGATAGCGCATCATGATATCGACAACTTATATTAGTTATATCCATTCAGGACATTATTAGTCCTATATTCGTGCGGATGCGTGGGGGATATATACGAAGCATAGATAAACATCACACTGTCTTGTAGCACAAAACGAAAGGCGTTCACGTCCCAAAATAATGAATACTGATTTAGAAACTGAATAATATGTGGGATTGCAGTGTTCCTATTCAGAATTGCTATTTTATCATTTACTGGAAAACGATACTATGTATTTTGGAACGGGTACATCCCGGCTTTGCCCTGGTATTATCGCTTTCTTCCATTTATTACATAATTATTGTGACCCGAAACTAACCCACAATTCGTTTTTTTTCGATTTATTCCATATTTTATATCTTGCCGGGCTCATTTTACTTAACATACAAGTTCTATCACTGTGTGCTGTTAAACGCTGTTGTTCCATTGACACCAACAGATCGTCCACTGGTCTTCATGCATGGGTGTACGAGCCAGGAACCCCGGGGAGGGGTGGGGGACTGCAGAGTTGGGAACATTCAGGTATATGCAAGAAAAATACAGACAGTGAATCAAGAATATCAACAGATTAATTTCTGGCTAATAATAATCCAAAATCTTGGCAAACAAAACATTTCCAGAAGTACAGGAATTCACTCAAAGCTCTGGTTTTTCCGAGATAACTGCCAAGTCTGTTCGATGGTTCTCGCTGCCATGCCTATTTTTGTCACGGAAGTCAATCCCGATCAAATATTAAAATGAAATGGGGTTAAACGTCCTACTGTGTTGCAGGACGTAGGGCCTGACAAGGATAGGTGTCTAGTCGTTCGGATGGGACGAATAACCGAGGTCCCGTGTACACATTAGCGTGCACGTAAAAGATCCCTTGGCAGATGGCCGTAGCGCCGGTGTCCGGGCAAAATTTCCCTCGTAGCACACTCTATGGCGTATGCCCGTCTTCATTAGCCTAGCCGGAGCAGAACAGTAGGACGTTCATTTTTAACGTTCTACTGGACCAATGAAGACAGACATACGCTACGCAGTGTGCTTTGTGGGACATTTTGCTCTTCTTGCACGTCAATATGTAAACGGACCTCCACTACAGTTTCAAGATTAATGCAGTCGGCACCAAGGTTAGTTTATCGGGTTTCCACTTAGGGTGATATCGCAGACAAGCACCCACTCTGAATATATTACATCTTGTATAGAAGATCATAAAGACTAAACTAAATAAAGATACAATTTAACTAATTTGCCTAAAGCACACAATAACATTCATTTGTCGAGTTCCATTGTGATTTTAATATTTAATTTACTTTTGGCGGCCCAAACCTCACCAAATTAGAGCATCATTGGTAGGTTCTATATTCTTTCAGTTCCCTTTTAAAAAGAAATCGATCAGATTAATGGGAATTCATTCGCTGGTGTCTTCTTTTGATTCCAGATTGCGCTAAATAACAGATCTTTGCCCTGAAAGGGTCGCCTTACTCGCAAATTAGTATACGATTTTGTAATGTGGTGTTAATCCGTTTTACATATTTCATACACACAAGGACTAAAGAAACATTCTCGATTTTATTAAATGGAAGCAGAATAAAAACTTCTCATAATTCTAGAAGTATGCTTAGTGTTTTCCACTAAAAATCCGCGATTTAGAAATTAAAGATACATTCTCCCAAAAGTATGGTAAACTTGGTAGAAAAATACTGGATTACTTGAAAAATAACAAGGGGGCAAGCACTGGGCAAAAAAATGTCAGCGTATCACTAACTGCAACCCGCCTGTTGTCTGTCAGCTTATTTTGTGTTAGCTTGACTGAGGGAGCGGTTGTTATTTCGTGATCAAATGGTTAGGCGGTTTGGGGGACATTAATGAAGTAATAAAAAATACATTCTGAAAAATGGACCCTCGCTCAATGAAGTTAGGCGACAACAGTTTATTTATAGCTTGAGGTATCTCCCCGCGAATACAAAGTTTTGAGAGGGATTTGAAACAAATTTTTGACAGCTTTAAAACTATCGGTTAATGGCTTCGTGTCTGTTCTCAAGCGGGGCTAATTGTATACAGATTCAGTGCATATACATTTTCTTATTACGAAAATAATGCTTCTAAATTAGAAGTAGTTGTATTTAGTTAAATCCCTTATATTCAGAATCTTATATCTCCCTTAAGGTTAATCGGATCTTGACCCGTTCATTCAGTTTTAATTCATCCAGGTATGCTTCTGTTCTTATAGCACGTCTTAATGTCAGAAGCAGATATTCCGAGGGAGTAGATATTGTGCCTAGGGAGCAGTTATTGTGACATATTTACACCTGAGGTGTCATTGCTTTGAACATTAATACACGTTTTGAAACACAAACCGATGACAGGAAATTAAATTAATAAGCTGAAATGTTTACAGTTGCCGTTGTAAATTATAACAAAATTATTTTTAAAGCAGCATTAGGTAAATAAAATAATGAAGTGTTTCCAGTTCGGAAATTACAGATGTAATGTAATCTATAAACA